TTTTCTGATAATTATAAAATTACAAATCCAGTTTGTTGCGTTACTTCTTAACAATTTTAAAATTAATTATACAATAATATTTAAATCCTTTTTATTTTTTCACTGGCCGCAATTTTTACTCATTATATTTGTGCAAAAATTAAAATTATACAAAAATACTAAGATTGAAATGTATTCGAACATAAGGTTAGAGCATATTAAGAAAAACTTGTTTAAATTACGCCAAATATATTTTTCCTAGATTGCACCTGGGAAATGAAAATTTGTGCAACTTTTTTACTGTCAATAATGTCTAAAATGTTTTTATGGACGTAACACAATGCTACATGGTTTAACCTCTTTTGGGTCATTGTTGATCTTAAATACATTTTTAATTTTCTTAAGGCACTGAAGCTTCTTTCGGCTTCACAAGACGAAGCAGTGCAAACTAAAAGGATTCTTACCAAATTTTCAACACTTTTAAATAAACATCTAACTTCTTTGATTGTTGAAGAGAGTGCTTTTTTCGCATCATCGCAAGCAATTGACTTTAAAGTTTTTATGGAAAAGTTGGAGCTCAATTTTTAAGGCATCTACGTCAATTTCTGGATAACAATTTAAGCTTTCCGATTTTTCGAACTTAAGCAGAACATTTTCCAACAAAATTTGTTTTTTTACACCTGGTTGATCTAAAATACGATTTTTTAACCCACTTATCGCTGTATCAACCATGTGATAAAATTGTTGGCGATAATATTCTTCGCACGAATTATATCCGTGTGAAGGAGTAGGTCCACTATATCTCTTAGGTGGGTTTTTTTTTTGCCTTGGAAGTGATACTTCTTCCAGATCATTTTGTTGAATTGCTGCTCAACATTCTTCAAAATGGACCTTGTGCCATTAAATCTTACATTCAATTCAATTCAATTCATTCTTCAAAAACTTTTTAAAAGTTTTCTTCAGATCTCAGATCTGACAATCCTTGAATCATGACTTCAATAGATTTACATAGACTCGACAAAGTGTTTTTTTTTTACCTTGAAATAATTTATTGATTGTCTCCAGCATTTCGATTATTTTTTTCCCCATTATCAGTCTTAAATATGTCGTTCCATTTAGGAAAGTGTTCAGTAGGCCACTTGCCCCATCATAATTTTTCGATGTCAGCTCTTCCAAGGTTTTTAAGATTATGTCATACTTTTTAAGAGCTTCGTTGATTTGAGAATGCCTGTAAATCCATCGCGTAGGGCACAACTTCTTTGGAAGAATCACAAACATTTTTCATAATTAAATTGCAACAATGGGCACCGCAGTGAATATAATCAGCAAGAGGTTGTTTTGCGATTAAGATGCTTTGGACATCCTTTTTATTTCCTCTCATATTTGCTGCTCCGTCATAGGTTTGCCCTCTCAATCCTTCTAAGGGAAGTTGAAGTTTCAATAGGACATCCGTTATTAGTGATGCAATGTCTTCTCCAGTTGTTGCCGGGGTCTTATAAAATCCTATAAATGTTTCTTGTGGTTTTAAATTGTCATCTATCCACCTTATGCAAATGCTTTCTTGCTCAACCCCTGAAATATCTCTCGTTCCATCACAAATTACGGAAATTGACTTCATTTTCCCGATGAGAGTAAGACTTATTTCCCTGCCAAATATTTCAAGGATTTCGTTTTGAATATCCGGATGGGTGTAATTTTTTTCTCTTTTTAACCATTGTTTTAGATTTTGCCTATATTCACTGCGAAGTCTCAATAGTTCCATAAAGTTTCCTTCCTACCACACTTAACGATTTCTTTCTGCTTATTAGAAGCATTTCTCAAGAGATGATTTGTGCACGCAATTTTTTCGACCGCGATAGTATCATATGGCCGAGAATCTAAAATCTTATAGAAGTTGCTGTCCCCGTCTCCAATGAATTTTGAATAAATTAATCCTTCATTTGAATGCTATTATTAAACCCTTCAACTAAAATGTCCGATTCCATGGCTGAAGAGCTCCCAGACCAATTTTTATAACAAATATGTTTCACAGGTGATACTTGCTTGGTAGTTGCTCGAGAGCATATGCAGCAATATTTGGTTCTCACTCCAAGAAAAGAACTTTTCCAGCAGCTTGTCCAACAATAGAGGCCTATAATATAATGAAAAATAAAAAATAATTAAAAAAACACAACTTTTAATAAACATTAGTAATTTTTATATACTAATTAAAACGTTTTAAAAATCAACGGAATTCAGGGCCTGATCATCGGCTAGGCCCAATACGCATGGGCCTAGGGCCCACAATGTCTGCGGGACTTCAAAAATTAGTAAAAAGTCCTCAATATTACTATATTTTTTAAATATTGAAAAAAAAAACAGTTTTTCTCAAAAAAATTTCTTTTTTTTAATTCTTTAGAGCTTGATTACCCAAATCTTTCCCTTCTAATGAATTATTATACAATTTTCTAACTGTGCCCTCCATTTTTAATTTAGTTATAATTACTAATTGCTCCTTTTCCCAATCTGCTAATTTAGCAGTAGTTTCAAGAACCTGAAAATACTCATCATAATTATCACTAGTTAGATTGGGGACAATTGACAATAGAAATGGGGATTTTAATCATTCTGCCATACTTAATTGCTTATGTTTTCTATAAAATAATATACAAATAACAGTATCTATAAATACTACCACATAACCAAATATTAATTAAAAGTGTCTGCCGATCCCACCAGAAATATATATGGTGATGTTCAGATAAAAGGAATACCTTTTTGCTTCTTTCTTTTTGCAGAAGTATGAGGCGCAAGGGTCGTGGCATCCAAAAATATGCATAGGTAAAATGTCTTCTTTTAACGCACGGATTCTATTGTTTTCGGGTACATTTTGTTCGTTTTTTCTGAATCGAACGGCCATGGTAACTGCTGTCCGAAATCTAAGTATTCTATCGTCGAGCAACTTCCTTAGTGTGTGGTGCCCGTATTTACCACACTTAACGACTTCTTTCAGCTTATTAGAAGCATTTCTCAAGAGATGATTTGTGCACTCAATTTTTTCGACGGTGACAGTGTGATATGGCCGAGAATCTAAAATCTTCTTATAGAAATTTCTGTCCCGTTCTCCAATGAATTTTGAATGAATTAATATATGCATTTGAATGCTATTATTAAACCCTTAGTAGGGGAAAATTGAGCGTTCAACCCCACTTTTTTTACTATGGGATGAGCGTTCAACCCCACTTTTTTTTTACTATGGGATGAGCGTTCAACCCCACTTTGGGTCGATGTCCTCTTTTACTCTAGTTCTATGGGATGAGCGTTCAACCCCACTTCGGATCGATGACCTCTTTTACTATANCACGATTTTATGTATGAAGGATTTGTTAGATGATATTCATCATCCTAACATTTTCGCATTTCTGCGAGCTATTGGTATTTTATATTGTATATAGAAGGTTTTATCTGATTTTATTCACTCCTATTTATTATCCATTCACCGTTTTACCTTATATAAATACACCTTTTATTGGATTTTAGTGACTTTTAAATATATTCATCTCGTTATTGACGGTTTTATTACCTTTATGTATTTTATAGAAAAAGAAATGTTCTTTTTCTACATTTACATTTTCAGCTGCATTAACGAACTGTTTGGCGCAGCATGTCCTCTTTTGGATCTTGTGCCATTAAACTCTACAGACAATCAATCAATCAGTCCGATTCCATGGCTGAAGAGCTCCCAGACCTATTTTTATAATAAATATGTTTCACAGGTGATACTTGCTTGGTAGTTGCTCGAGAGCATATGCAGCAATATTTGGTTCTCACTCCAAGAAAAAGAACTTTTCCTGCATGTTGTCCAACAATAGAAGCCTATAATACATTGAAAAATAAAAAATAATTAAAAAGAACACAACTTTTAAGAATCATTAGTAATTTTTATATACTAATTAAAACGTTTTAAAAATCAACGGAATTCAGGGCCTGATCATCGGCTGGCCCAATACGCATGGGCCTGGGACCCACAATGTCTGCGGAGCTTCAAAAATTAGTGAGAAGTCTAAATATTACTATGTCTTTTATATTCTTAGTAAAAATATTACTATTTCTTTTAAATATTGAAAAAAAAAGTTTTTCTCAAAAAAAATTCTATTTTTTTTAAATTCTTTAAAGCTTCATTACCCAAATCTTTCCCTTCTAATGAATTATTATACAATTTTCTAACTGCGCCCTTCATTTTTAATTTAGTTATAATTACTAATTGCTCCTTTTCCCAATCTGCTAAGTTAGCAGTAGTTTCAAGAGCCTGAAAATACTCATTATAATTATCACTAGTTAGATTGGGGACAATAGAAATGGGGATTTCAATCCTTTTGCCATACTTAATTGCTTATGTTCTCTATAAAATAATATACAAATAACAGTATCTATAAATACTTCCACATAACCAAATATTAATTAGAAGTGTCTGGCGATCCTGGTCACGGCACCAGAAATATATGTGGTGATGTTCAGATAAAAGGAAAATCTTTTATCTTCTTTCTTTTTGCTGAAGTATGAATCGCGAAGGGTCGTGGCACCCAAAAATATGTATAGGTAAAATGTCTTCTTTTAAAGCACGGATTCTGTTGTTTTCGGGTACATTTTGTTCGTTTTTTCTGAATCGAACGGCCATGGTAAATGCTGTCCGAAATCTAAGTATTCTATCATCGAGCAACTTCCTTAGTGTGTGATGCCCGTATTTACCACACTTAACGATTTCTTTCAGCATATTAGAAGTATTTCTCAAGAGATGATTTGTGCACTCAATTTTTTCGACGGTGACAGTGTGATATGGCCGAGAATCTAAAATCTTCTTATAGAAATTTCTGTCCCCGTCTCCAATGAATTTTGAATAAATTAATCCATGCATTTGAATGCTATTATTAAACCTTTCAACTAAAATGTCCGATTCCATAGCTGAAGAGCTCCCAGACCAATTTTTATAATAAATATATTTCACAGGTGATACTTGCTTGGTTGCTCGAGAGCATATGCAGTAATATTTGGTTCTCACTCCAAGAAAAAGAACTTTTCCTGCAGCTTGTCCAACAATAGAAGCCTGTAATATAATGAAAAATTAAAAAATAATTCAAAAAACACAACTTTTAAGAAACATTAGTAATTTATATATACTAATTAAAACGTTCTAAAAATCAACGGAATTCAGGGCCTGATCATTGGCTAGGCCCAATACGCATGGGCCTAGGGCCCACAATTTCTGCGGGGCTTCAAAAATTCCTCGATATTACTATTTCTTTTAAATATTGAAAATAATAGTTTTTCTCAAAAAAATGTCTTATTTTCAAATTTCTTTATATTGTAATACGACCAAACTCAGGTAAACATTGCACTAATAAAATTCGAAAGTAAGGTGGGCTAGATTTGTGTTCGTTTAGCTTATCAATAATTACAGATTAATGACATAGCAAAAATCCATGACAGTTCTTGCTTGTGGACACCAATTGTCTTTACCTATTTTTTATTTGTGCATAACTTTCTTTCTTTTTTTATATTCTGCTTTTTTATATATTTAGTAATACTATTTAAGATCAAATTTTAAAGCAGTAATGTGCATCAGATATTACTACAGAACACGATTTTGAAATTCTCATATCTAAATAAATTATTATTCAAATGTGTTTTTCATTTTCCATCAGTAGATACAATTTTAGCTCTTTTGGATATTTAGCTCTTTTGGATTGGTGTTGAAATGTATTTTTCTATATAAATTANTTCTTCGAAGCAGGAGCACAGACCAATTTTTATAACAAATATGTTTCACATGTGATACTTGCTTGGTAATTGCTCGAGAGCATATGCAGCAATATTTGGTTCTCACTCCAAGAAAAAGAACTTTTCTTGCAGCTTGTCGAAGCAATTGAAGCCTATAATATATAATGAAAAATAAAAAATAATTCGAAAAACACAACTTTTAAGAAACATTAGTAATTTTTATATACTAATTAAAACGTTTTAAAAATCAACGGAATTCAGGGCCTGATCATCGGCTAGGCCCCACATTGTCTGCGGGACTTCAAAAATTAGTAAAAAGTTCTCAATATTACTATTTCTATTAAATATTGAAAAAAAAAACAGTTTTTCTACAAAAAATGTCTTATTTTAAAATTTCAAATTTCTTTACATTGTGATACGACCAAACTCAGGTAAACATTGCACTAATAAAATTCGAAAGTAAGGTGGGCTAGCTTTGTGTTCGTTTAGCTTATCAATAATTACAGATTAATGACATAGCAAAAATCCATGACAGTTCTTGCTTGTGGTCACCAATTGTCCTTACCTATTTTTTATTTGTGCATAACTTTCTTTCTTTTTTTATATATTTAGTAATACTATTTAAGATCAAATTTTAAAGCAGTAATGTGAATCAGATATTACTACAGAACACGATTTTGAAATTCTCATATCTAAATAAATTATTATTTAAATGTGTTTTTAATTTTCTATTAGTAGATACAATTTTAACTCTTTTGGAAATTTTTTATCTGTTGAAATGTATTTTTCAATATAAATTATAATTAGTAGAGGAAAAGGTGTAAATATGGGCACCCTCTTTTGTTACTTTCAATTTGAAAA